AAAATAATCTATAGGCCTTAAATGGAAATAAGAGAGAATTTTATTGATAGCTGAATTTCGTTTACTGTCGCTTCTTCATATGGCATGCAAAGTAAGGAATGCATCTGGGATATTATTGTTTAAAATTCTCTTATCACCATGGGTCAAAAAAATGAGAACGACCAATGAGCTGAAATGCGACGATTCTCGAGTCTGCCATTGAGTATCCACTGAATAATGTTGATATTTACATCAAAGCCAAATGCACGAAAGTGAACTTAAGCATTTCTTGACTATGAAATTAACATTTCTATAGGGACTCGTATTTTGATAACGTCATGGTACCTGAAAATAATAATAGACCTATCGTACATGCAAAATCTTATTTTAATTCACGTGTTAAATGAACACGAGTACAGCTGTGTGCGGCTTCTTTGATAATTATCCAATCAACAATCTTAATCTCCTGACCACTAGCTGGCACTGATCCAGTTAATCTCTCCAAAGTTATAATATACACAACAGACTACTAATGTATAGATTGTTCTTCAGTATAACACTATCATGTGAATATTATGCCGTATGTGTTGTGGATGTTTCGTTACGAAAGGAGTACATTTATTACGATTTTCGTCGTCAACACCCTTGAAATCCTAAATAAAAAACATATTAAACGACAAAATAGCAAATAAATTGCGGAAATAGTCGGATCAAATTTTTACTACGATTTTCGTCTTCAGCACCCCTGAAAACCCATGGAAAGATATATTCAACGACAAAACAGCAGATAAATGGCCTGTTTGCTATGGGATTTTGTTTTGGAACATACCAAATTTTCAAAATTTCCTCATTATGACTCAGTATGCTATGGGGGGTCACATATGTCTTCTCTCAATAGCTGGAAAGAGGTTCACTTTTGAAAACATTCCGCAGTAGCAAATTGCCCATTTTGGCTGGTATTAAGACATACTGTAAATGAAATATGAAGGAATTGAAATCTTGAAGTGAATTTTGTTTACAAGTCCAGAAGTTTGTGAATATTAAAATTTACATATCTTTACTCTTGTATATTTAACATATATTTTGTTGTCAGCAACTAAATCGAAAAACAAACCCCAAAAATGCAATTTTATATCATGTTGAATGGTGTTTTTACTATAATGAAACATGTGATTACTGATCACCCCATTTTAAAGAAAGCTTTTAGCATATCTAAAAGCAATGTGATATTAAATGTTATAAATTGTATAATTGTTATAAATTGCATAGTTTTTAGTAAAATATTAAGAACTTTGGGTGGTTGCCATAGCAACTATATAATTTTAAAAATAACATACCGGTAACTGTTGTTTCACTATTGTTTGTTCTCTGCATGTATTGCTTACATGTTACAAGAAGATTTCTATTTTGATACATTATTATCTAACAACATTGACCAATAAAAACAAATTATTTGTGGTGCTTCTAAATAATTCCTTAAAACTTTTAAAAGAAGACTGTAGGTACCCATACGACAGTAGGCTAAGGTACATGTAGGCTTAGGGTGGCACTAATACTAGGATTTTGACTGGAAGAATTTTTTTTTTTTTTACAATGTAGATCTACTTTAGGCCACACAAAATAAATGTCTTGTTTCTCGGGCAACTGACAGCTGAAACTGTAGGGAGGGAGGGCGGTTTCTTTTTTTTTTTTACTCATTGATGGTGCAAAATAAAATTTGGCTATTGCTGAAAATTGTTGGGGCGGGAGGGCGGTCTTTCTTTTATTTTTTTTTTTAAATGAGAAAGTCATTACTTGTTTACGTTTTTGCTTTCCGTTATATTCAACTTTATTGTACATACTTGAAACATAAACCCAAAATCAAGTCTACTAAAACACTGAGACTGAACACTGACTGAAAGGAAAATAATTTTCCATATTTAATTCACATAATTGAAATTGGTTTAAAATAAAATTCCATACGACTATGTAATAGCCCTCCATAAAGACAACAATATTTTTAAAAACTAAACCTCTTTCACCAGGTGTATCAAAAATAATAATCATGGTAAACAGTATTTAAAACTAAATCTAGTATCGCCGGTTTATTTATAATTATTTACCGAATTCCAACTAATGCATGTCACACCGTGTCATCGGTATTGGAGATTGCCGGAAATACTGTTTCTTGGGATATTCGGTGTGTTTCTCAGGATATTCGGTGTTCTATCCGGTGTTTATATTGAATGACTATTTAAATCTAACTAACAACTGGTCAGTAAAACCATCAAATCGGTAATCCAATTATTATTTTCCGGATTATCGAAACTACCGTAAATGTGCTAATAATGACCCAGATTCTAAGGTATGCATTATGACGACTATCGTCATCGTATCGTATTCTTAGCTATAATTAATTAACCTGTTCTACGGTTCATTATTTTATCAATAGGATTTTCCAAACAAGGACCGACTGAAGCCGGCAATAATGAGCCGATTACGATCGAATGATTGAAATATTGTCGCCAATGACTTTTAACACGAATCAAATTCTAGTTTATCAGGGGAGGTAATTAATATCACGTGATACAAAATGGAGGTTCTTTCAATATCAATAAGAAAGGCAAATCTGCCAAACTTCGCCATTGTTCGGATAAAAAAGACAGCATGTTCATCTGAATCAGTTTTAATACATTTGAATAGATATACATGTATGGCGGATGTAGGTACATGCGGGATATTTTTTTTACGACTTTCTTGTCGATGTGCGGGCGGGCGTTACATATTTATTTTTTTTCATCAAGACTAATAAATAGACTGCCTGCGCAACCAATTTTGCGTGCGGGCGGTGCCCGAGAAACAAGTTATTTTATTTGTGTTGCCTTACATTTGAACATTTTCATTATTCCTCCAAATGTAGACTATCGTGGAGCAGCTCCCCTTTTTTATTCGTACATGTATATTTTCGTCAACAAATCAAATCTAGGCCTAATAAATTTAATAAAGCCTTCACACTGTGTTTGTCAGCCTAGATTCAATTTGTTTTATACTGGCTAACAAATAAAATTAGGTGTTAAATACATGTATTTCCCCAAAATTACAATGAATTAAACATATAAATAATTAGTATGAGAACCGATATATAATGATAAAATATTGAATAAATTGCCTTTGTGACAATCAGGTATCCGACTGATGGACTGTACGGCCATTTATTGACTTACCACGGCACTAATCTTAAACCAAATGTTGTAATAAATCGTCAACGGAAATTCCAGAATTTGAGCCATTATTTAAATTATTTTTTTGTTGGCGTTAATTCTTTTGCCATTCGAACTTTATTTGGGATATTATAATGGTCAGAAATCATGTTATTATCACGGTATCCGTAAGTCCGTTCCTTCATACGAATACAAGTCACAACCGGAAATGGTTCTCGGATACCGTGTTGATATGTTCCAATTTCATTTGCATTCGTTTGGACATTAAAATTTAAAAACAGAGTATATCCACACTAATGAGTGTATGAAGTGTGACATCAATAAACAATTTTCAAATCAGTTCAAGACTTGTTTTCTTGACTTGAATCAAAAGATAAATATATCAGCTTGTGGAAAATAGTAACAGGAAGATAAAATAAAGCACATTTATTGAAAAATATTGTTTTGAAGTCGTGTCCTGAAAATTGCTTGGTTGTGACTTTGACATTTTAAAATCTCATATTTATTCAATAAAATGAATGATCATTTGATACAATTGTTTTTTTTATGTGTATTTGTCCCTATATTTTACATATGTATATATATATATAATAGAATTGTTTAACAAAAGTAAGATAAACACAAGTTTGACACAGCTGAATGAACATATGATTTCAAGGAAATATAAATTTTTTTCACTGTTTATCTAAGTGGAAAAATGTTTTGTCAAAGCCTTATTTAAAACTAAAATGCATCACTAATACGACTTTTAATGACTTCTGTAACAACATTGTAAGCAAAATCAAAATTAATGGAATTTTTATGCTGGACGTGATTGTTGACAAGTTCTTGGATGTGATGAAATGGATGTGATCATTGACAATAATGATGATTATGGGTGTGATTTTTGACAGGGTCATAATTTTTTAATTGTAAATGAAATGAATGTCCTGCTGCCTGACACATGACTACATATTGGTCTACATGGAAACCATAAATAATCATAAAAACGCAAATGTTACAACATCATGTAACACAACAACAGTTTTACAAGTTTTTGTAAGGTTTGTATACATCTTGCCTTAACCCACCTTGCACTCATACTTGCATGCTTTCACTATATAAATGTACTAATGCAGTTGTGTGTATTAATAGTTTGCTTATATATGTATTCTCTGCATTTCTGGTGGTGGGCTTTATATAATATATTTTTATAAATCATCATTCATTTTATTCATCTTGTTTTAATCACGATTACTCGATTTGGCAGAGGTAATGGAACATGCAAGACAGTCCCAAGTCTGTATATAAAGAGAGAGGGAGGCATGTCTTATTTGTATTGCAAACTGAATGAATAAATATTTTGTTTACAGTTCGTTTGTTTTTTGTTTTTAGTTTTTCGCTGATTTCAACATTATTTCATTCATATCATGGCAGTCACATAATCTACTTACTGTTCCTGGTTAACCAGTACTAATCACTTACCTACAGGAATCAGCGGTTAGGGAATCATGTTCGTAGACAAGATATCACGACTTTAGAAATTTACACTCTTAAGGCAGGTTCAAACCATCGACCTTCTGATTAAGAATTTATTCAACTTGCTATTCATTTTTTAATAGTCTGACTGCAGACAGAAATTGACTTAGGGATCGTTCACAAATGACGTCAGCTCGGAGGGGGGAGTCAGTGAAAAGTTGACGTCCATGTATTTCTGTCTATCCTTGTAATGTTGACAAGGGGGGAGGGGGTTCATTTTTGGCCAAATTTTAGCGGACGTCATTTGTGAACGGTCCCTTACAATCAGAACTTTAAAACCAAATGCACCAATTGAATGTCTTTATTTCAGAATCATCAAGGAACAATGAGGCAATCTTATTAGTTATCAACTGGTATTTAGTAATTAGAATTTTGTTAACATGAACAGTTAAAATGTTTTTATTGAGCACTTCTGTCCTGGATACACTGTATGGGTATTTTTCTCGTGATCACTGGAAAAGTTTATCTGGAAAAAAGAAATGAAAATGCTAACTATCTGCCTGCCTTAAGACAAACAATGTCCCTGGGTTATTTCAATAGGCCAGTGATCATTTATCTATTCCCCTGGTTTCAGAGTATATTATCATGACAGAATCTTGTGATTATTGAGAATGGCATATTCTGTATAAAGCATGTTAAGAACCATTATCATGTGGGACTCACTTTAATGGCAAAAGGTGTGAACACATGTATATTAAACTGCGTAGGCCAGTTGGTTGCAAAATCTAGCTTGATAAAGGTTTGAAGATAATAAATGTCTATTCAGATTGGTGGCGTAACAAAAGACCAAATGATGTTACAGAATGAACTTATAAAAATGCAATGTTAATAATTTAAAATTAAATCCAGAACATGCAATATCAGTATGTTTTTATCTTATTATACACAAGAGTCTGAATATAGTACCTGTAAATTTATAAAGCAGCCTGCTTCCACACATAATGATGTCAGGAGAAACACTCTTTGCCCTAACATCCGTGGCCACTACCGTGTGAGTTGTTTCATTTAGGGACCATAATTTCTTCTTTTTGGTAAAAAATCGAACCCAAGGCCAGACATCAACCTGAATTAAAGGACAATAATTGAACTTTTATTAATAATATTTTTTACAAGAGAAAGAGTACATATTTAATAACCAATTAAAACATAGTTAATGAACTGCATTAAAACAACATTGAAAAAAAATCGGCCAATTTATAGTATTAATTTAATGTGCCCAGTATTCTTCATGATTGAATGGCCCTAAAAATACTTTCATAATATCAAACACTGTGCAATATACATGGCCGGGCTGGGGCTTGAACCTATGACTCCTGTAATAGTATGAAAGAAATGTATGTACAACAGAAGTTGCAAAAACTTTATGAACTGTGAAAATAAAAAAAAACAAAAATTTATTATAACCTTTGTAAAACAGAACTTTCATGAAAAATAACAGCAAATGTTAGTAACAATTGAAAAAGTAACGCAAATTTTCTTTTAACATCCTTACGACTGCAGGTAACAAAGTAGACCCATGTTGAATTATTATGTATTCCCCAGTATGATATCTAAAGAAATTTCAAGATATATTAAAAGGATTAAAGATAAAGTTTCAATTGCCATGATTTTCAGATTAGTTATTCATTATAAAATATTTACATCCCACTACATTTTTCTTCAATGAACTATATTAGTTGGCATTAAGTTCATTACCGTATGAAAACAGTCGTTTCAGGTAGCTTTGGCTTTAGTTTATTGAGTTACTTGAATCACGAATATTCATGATAATTTGGCGTATTGCGTCATTGTTTATAATTTTTTAACCCATGATGATCACTCCGATATAGACGCGCTTATGCTACATTTTATGCCTTTACTTCTATTCTTTTTGAAAAACAACTAAGAATATTAAAATTTAAATGTAACCTAAACATACCTATGGTCTATGGTTGGTAGATTAGCCTGGTCAATGGTTGGTAGATTAGTCTGGTCCATGGTTGATAAATTAGCCTGGTCTATGGTTGATAAATTAGCCTGGTCTATGGTTGGTAGATTAGCCTGGTCCATGGTTGGTAGATTAGCCTGGTCCATGGTTGGTAGATTAGCCTGGTCCATGGTTGGTAGATTAGTGGTAGATTAGCCTGGTCCATGGTTGGTAGATCAGTCTGGTCCAAGGTTGATAAATTAGCCTGGTCTATGGTTGGTAGATTAGCCTCGTCTATGGTTGATAGATTAGCCTGGTCCATGGTTGGTAGATTAGCCTGGTCTATGGTTGATAGATTAGCCTGGTCTATGGTTGATAAATTAGCCTGGTCTATGGTTGATAAATTAGCCTGGTCTATGGTTGATAGATTAGCCTGGTCTATGGTTGGTATATTAGCCTGGTGTATGGTTGGTACATTAGCCTGGTCCATGGTTGGTACATTAGCCTGGTCCATGGTTGGTAGATTAGCCTGGTCTATGGTTGATAAATTAGCCTGGTCTATGGTTGATAAATTAGCCTGGTCTATGGTTGGTCGATTAGCCTCGTCTATGGTTGGTTGATTAGCCTGGTGTATGGTTGGTAGATTAGCCTGGTCCATGGTTGGTAGATTAGCCTGGTCCATGGTTGGTAGATTAGCCTGGTCCAAGGTTGATAAATTAGCCTGGTCTATGGTTGATAAATTAGCCTGGTCTATGGTTGGTAGATTAGCCTGGTCTATGGTTGGTAGATTAGCCTTTTCCATGGTTGGTAGATCAGTCTGGTCCATGGTTGGTAGATTAGCCTTTTCCAAGGTTGATAAATTAGCCTGGTCTATGGTTGGTAGATTAGCCTGGTCCATGGTTGGTAGATTAGCCTGGTCCATGGTTGGTAGATTAGCCTGGTCTATGGTTGGTCGATTAGCCTGGTCCATGGTTGGTAGATTAGCCTGGTCCATGGTTGGTAGATTAGCCTGGTTTATGGTTGATAGATTAGCCTGGTCCATGGTTGGTAGATTAGCCTGGTCTATGGTTGGTAGATTAGCCTGGTCCATGGTTGATAGATTAGCCTGGTCTATGGTTGGTATATTAGCCTGGTGTATGGTTGGTAGATTAGCCTGGTCTATGGTTGGTAGATTAGCCTGGTCCATGGTTGGTAGATTAGCCTGGTCCATGGTTGGTAGATTAGCCTGGTCCATGGTTGGTAGATCAGTCTGGTCCAAGGTTGATAAATTAGCCTGGTCCATGGTTGGTAGATTAGCCTCGTCTATGGTTGATAGATTAGCCTGGTCCATGGTTGGTAGATTAGCCTGGTCCATGGTTGGTAGATCAGTTTGGTCCAAGGTTGATAAATTAGCCTGGTCCATGGTTGGTAGATTAGCCTGGTCTATGGTTGGTTGATTAGCCTGGTGTATGGTTGGTAGATTAGCCTGGTCTATGGTTGGTAGATTAGCCTGGTCTATGGTTGGTAGATCAGTCTGGTCCATGGTTGATAAATTAGCCTGGTCCATGGTTGATAAATTAGCCTGGTCAGTAAAATCGAAATCCAAAATCATAGAGAGGCCCGATAATTCCATAATGTTTCCATCACTGTAATCTATAATGGGGTCGCTCCACTCATCCATCACCTCTACCCCTTCACCAAAGTCCTCCAGCACAGCATCTAGGTCCCTTGGCACTTCCGTATTTGAATCCACAGGAATTTCTGGGACAAAGTGGTTTGGTACCCAGTTTGTCTGATTCATGTCATTTCTTGTTGAACTCCACATGATTGTAATGGTAGCTTCTCTTAACTTGTCCCTTGGTAGGATATCTCTGTGTAAACCCAATGTTAGTATCTGAGCTCCTTGTGATGGATATTTGGATACCACTTTACAACCAAGAACAGAGGCAATAGCAAATAACTGCCATATTCCCATAAGTTCTTTTGGTTTTGTTGCTGCAACTGTTTCAGCTTCAAATGTTCTTTGTGATACAGCATTTGTAATTTTATCCCCAGCAATATACTGGTCGGAAAATTGAGTATACAAAGAGACTACGTTTTCGTTGATTGGCTCAGGAATTCCTCTACACAAGTAATCATTGTTAGTGTACATTTCCACATGACAGGACATCTCTACTGCAATTCTGACCCTTATTTCCTCATGGTATTCTTCACATCCATAACATGCAACACTCACAGATCGGGGCAAACAATTTCCATCACCAACAACGACTACTGGGTAACCAAAACTGCACTGACCAGGATGAAGAGTAAGGGCCACTTTGTCTACAGTCAGTTTATTTTTCAAAATAGATACCCCACTTTCTACTTCTACTGTATATTTTTGGTATAAATCTAGTTCTTTTAAGTAGATTGCCCTAGCTTGCAAGTTCCCAAAATTTTTGCATTTGGCAAGGTATTCAGTGCACCTTGCGAAAAAGTGTTGTCTAGTTATCTCTGGTTCTATGATGAGCACATCCGTGTTTTCATCCCTAGTCATAAGTTTGTTTCCTGCATTATCTTCCTTCGACTCCTTTTGCATCTGGGCAGTTTTGGGTGCTTTCTCTGTCTCTGCAACTTTCGGGTCTTTTCCAGACTTTTCAATAGCTGATTTTTTCTGTTGTAACAAAGGTTGCAGTGTCCAATTGTCAACATGGCCGGTTGACTCACAAAGTCCACTCTCGTAACCAATGCAGACGTCGCAGTAGCAGCATAGGTTCCTTGTCCACACTGCATCACCAGGTCCTGTCACTGATGCCACACAGTGGAGAGATCGAGTCCCAACAATGGTCATCAAATTTGAATTCTTTCTGTGCGATATGTTTTTCACTAGGAAGAAGGTTCTTTTAGAATGGTTACATTGGTCATCCGTCTCATCCCTCGTCATCTTTATCCTGCAGTACCCAAAAGCATCCTCTGCTGATTGGACTATAACTTCTCTTCTCAAGACCGCATTTCGGATGCTGGATTTGACCACCCCAACACAGGCATCACAAGGGCCTTTTCCGTGTCTTGAGCCGAAAAAACACCGATCGGTTGAATGGCTTGTGGAATCAGAAATGTCATGAAAGGCTTGCTTGCTCTTGTATTGTGATGCACATCCGTCAGAGAACTGTACCACATGTTCTATCTTTAGATTTCTCTTATCTGTGAGATGATCTTCAGCCTGTCTGATGAAAGCTTTGACAGCACTGGTGTCATGGTTTAGGTCGTCGGACAGCATCACTAGCTCTTCTTTCACAATTTCATGACAATGGGTGTTTTGACAGTTGTAATATGTCACAATTGGATGAACGGTGACCTGATTGTGAAACCAATGAGCGCTTTGTGCTTCGTCCTGATTGATGCATGTGTAATTCTGTCCAAAATCTAAAACCATAACCACCCAACCTTTTGGGAGGGCCTTGGAAGTGAGATTTGTAAACTGGGAGTGTTCCCACTTGGCGTTGTGCAAGTGAAGACTTAGTGCTTCTACTTCTTTCAGGAATTCTGCTGAGAACTGCTCTCCACTTCCACTTTCCGTAACAAGCTCTTTCCTAGTGCCGTTTTCGTGTTTCACAGAGTCCCATAACTGCCAAGATACTGTGTCTTTCTGTTCAACTTGATATAAAAGACTCTTTAGTTTGTGCGTGCCACATTCCTCTCATTTCCTCTCCACGCAAACTCTTTTGTTGTAGTCTCCTACTTCTACTGGACACATACTGGCTCTGATGAGTGTGTATTTATTAGAAAGTCTTTCATCAATCTCAGTTTCTGATATTTTTTTAAGAAATTTAATTTTGAGTTCTATATTGGCACAGTATTCACACAAGCAAGATATATGTTTTGTCTTTGTTTGGGGTTTAATATGTTTAGGTCTTAAGGAATGAAAACTGCTTTGACTTAATAAAACTTCTTTGTTTTCGGATTTAAAAAAATTAAAACTTTCTTTAATTGTATTGTTCAATACACTTGTGCTCCCTTTTTTTGTTACCTTCCTCATATCAGGAAGAGGTGTCGAAATGTTTGGTTTTTTATAAAACTCCTCAACTTTTTTTTTTGTATCTTCTGAAATTTGGTCTGATCTTTTGGCCCATACATCGTCTTCTTTAACTTTTCTGCACTTTAAGTAGTCATATTTAATATTTGTAGCGCGACTCATCGCATAACAGTTTTTGTATTTCTTCATCATAGTCTTTATGAAGCATCTTCGTTTGATTATGCTCTTACGATCTTTTTGTGTTTTTAGTCTTTTGATTTCCTCAACAACTGGATCACTCGAGTCCCCTTTGGTAAGTTGTTCAAAAGCTTGTCTTTTCCTGGGGGATGCTTTATGGATAACTCTTTCTAAAACACAAGCAAACTTCTGTGGGTTTTTGGGAAGAGATTTTGTAGCCCTACTGGCTGCTTTCCTCACTGCATCATGTGACAAAACTTTATCTTCAGTGGGTAACCAGACATCAGATACTGTAATTTCTTTGTCCATATTGTCACTATCATCAATATTTTTCCTATTTCTGTCAAACTCTTTGACACGCCGTTTTTTTTGCGAACTTTGTCTTGAACGCGATTCTCTTTTCTTTTTCGCCCAATACTCTCTTTTTTTATCAATTTCTGCTCTCGTTCTAGCTTTCTTTGGCGATGAGACGCATGTTTTTCCTGTTGCATCCTTTAGTTTATCCCGATATCTTTGGGAACAGATCCTGCTTTTGGCCCTTTCTTTATCAACATCCTCCTTCGATTTTTCTCGGCCTCTCCATGCCTTTCTTCTCTGTCTATCTTTTTCAAGATGACTGAAAATAAAAAAACAAATTTATATGTTTAGTTAACATCTAAATAATATCAATACCTAATTATCTGTCTCATAAATCAAATTGACACATTTTTTAAACAATGATATGCTGATGGTCGTTTGTGTGAAGTTTCATTATAAAAGGACATCACCTTCACTAAAAACTAACTTGACCAAAAACCTTAACCTGAATGAAATGGACGAACCGACAGACGGACAGACAAACGGAGGTCGTAACCTCAAATTGACACCTATTTTAAACAATGATATGCTGAGGATTATTTGCGTGAAGTTTTATCATAATGGACCGGTCATCAGCTTCACTTAAAACTAATTTGACCAAAAAGTTTAGTCCGACGTTATGGACAGACAAACAAACAGGTCTACTGAAAGCCTATATGCCTCTCATACTGCCAGGGCATAAAAATGGCCGAATGGATTTTAACAAAACTTGGTATTAATAGTCAATTAAAAATATCCACACAAAGTAAACTGTTAAAAAACAGTGAAAGACAAAGACATACATAAAATAAACAAAACTAGTTATGTGGACTTTCCATATGGCATGAAAAGTGGTATCAGGTGTTCCGGAGGGGTAAGCATACCCTGCCCTGTGCACAGTACCCGCCACAAAACAATAACTAGCAATGATACACAACCTTTATGTAATAGACAAATGAGTTTAGTAGGGGAGTTATCCCTGCTATCAGGCACATAAAGGCTATGCAAGTTAGACAGAAATAAAACGTATACAAACAAAAAGGGACTTGGATCATTAGCTAAAAGCTATAAAAAATTATCATCACTACCGCAGACAGACATGACATCCCGTTTCAGCTACATGTTACTGATACTAAGCCTTCTTTTCATAACCATTTAATGCCTGGAGCAGTAGCAAAGGAGGCAATAATTTGTCAATTTTAAGTCTCATATTGGGCATGACACAGCAGGGAATAGAACGTACAACTTGCGGATCAAAATAGTATTATTAATTCCACTAGGCCATCGCTGCAGCAATGAGGAGATACAGTTGCAATGAATAAACATGATTAATACCTTTGATTAATTATTAAGTTAGTACTTACGCTGCATATTTTGATGGATTTGCCTTAAGTCTTTCCAAGTAGGTTCTATTATAATCTGCCTTGGTTTTTATTGGTTTCTTCTCCTTGACAGGCCTAACACGAAGGGACCACCTGTCAGTAAAAATAGTATACATTTGTGACATTGGTTTTGAAATGTTTATTAGCTCAAATTGTCAAATATTAAGTTTTTTTTATTAATTTAGGTATTTGTTTACTTTACGTCTCTAAATTCAAATTCAAAGATATATGCATTTGTCAAAAATCACATCCGTGCAGTTCATATAGCTTTATTTGAATTTGAATACATTTATTTACACTAATTGTTTGTGAAATTCATAAGTCAGAATATGGTGTCAAGACACACTTTGTTTCAACTATGGTAAACCACATAACACTACAAAATATTTAGTTTTTATATCCATTCCTAGGCTGTGACCATTGACCAAGAAATAATATACTGTTTGTCAATAATCACATCCAGATTTTATAATAAAAAATAATTTTGTAGATTTGTTTACGGCAACAAACTTATCATTTGTTAGCATTCTATCACTTCATAATAATTTATTGTGCTGGTAATAATATCTACAAAAACAATAATTTACTGCAAACGGTACATTCTTACATAGGTTCGTGATTTTTGACTCGCAAAACATAATGTGTTTTAAATTGGATGTGATGATGGACAGTTAAGCCACTTCCAAAATGTCAATAATCACAACCAGGTCTCAAACCCAAACTATAGAATTGTATGCGATTTATTTATAAATAAATCAAAATAATAGTTAGTTTATGCTACAAATAACCATCTAAATAAGTGATGCCTGAATCATAAATCAAATTAAAATAAATCCTAATATGGATGTGATTGTTGACCTCAATACAAAACCATACACATGTCCTTGGATGTGATGGAGGACTACACCCTTGATGTCTAAAATCATGTCCAAGCAGATTGTTAATGTTTCAAACAATTTTTGTAATAAACGATGGAAGTTCTCATTTCAATGTGAAATAATTCATTTCATACATGACTTTCATTAGCTTTCCTTTCAATATTAACACTGGAGTTATGTGGTAATTAATGATAAAAAGCAGGACGTGATTCCTGACAATCAAACTGACAAGTAGGATAGTGGATAGTTGTCTCATAGGTCGGCTAACAACTGAATTTATTTTTTCCTTCAGTAAGCAGCTTCTGAGAGAAACATTCATAATAATTCTTCGTGGTCTGAATTTTTATTACTAATATAATTAATGATGATAATGTATACAGAATATCAAATGATAGTAAAATGCAATAGAGACGTGATTATTGACTTGATTTAAACGCGTCCAAAGTGACGTCCGGGAGAAAACTCGAAGTCCAAAATCACGACCACAGAATAAAAATGATTACTTTAATTTTAGTTTCGATGAAAACAAGCAAAACATTGCAGATATGGGGGGATTGTTATAACGAAAACACGTTAAAACTGTTCTTTTTCGTTTGCGTTATACTATTGTTGTGTTTTCACATTATTGTTCTCAATCGTGACGTTTCTCCCGGACGTGATTAGCTATCTTGTTCATTGACGGAAAACACTTACCGTTCATTATCCGCCATGATGGGTTGTCTGCACAGAGCATGCGCAGTAAATCGGATAAGTTGACGATTACTGATTTCAAATACAGAAGAGCGGACCGGAAACTACGGGTTCAATGCATTTTACATCGGTCAGAAAGTTTACTTTTTTCTCGGACGTGACGAAGATTTTTTGACAGAATCCACTACATATTTAATTGACAACATATAATTTCACATACAATATATTTCCTATTGGTTAAGTGGTATTTAAAACACAAACAAATGTATAAAATAAAGAAGGAAACTGCGGAGATTGCTTTTAACAAAATAAAATGAGTTTTTATAATCGACGAGAAATTCACTATAAATTGACGGAATTTCATCACGTACGTGAAACAATTTTTAAAACAGTATTTATTCACCAATTCGAAGATAAAATAGGATAAAACAACCTAAACCTGATAATAATGCAATATAGACACCATTAAAACTTACCTGTATGTTTTTTAGAGCTAAAGTGTCAAATATATACAACAGTCAAGTTGGGTCATAAGGCCATGTCACAAATGGCCGTCATTAAATTGCTTCATTTTTGTAGGGAATAATTAAAAAATAAACAAAAGAATACATTAAACACGCTGAAATTGTTTTTTATATCTCTTTTATTACTTTTCTTTAGACTAAACTCAGAAGTATAACAAACAAATAATATATGCAATCTTTTTTGGCCATTTAGTTGAGATACACCTTACTACACTCATTAGTGTGGATATGCTCAATACTTAAAATTAGACTTGAACAACAGAGAATTAAGTAATTCAGAACATTGAAATAGTTGTCTATGTTTGGCAATTTTTAACGGTTGAAAAATATTTGGTGTTAAACGTAAAGGCGTGCGGTAGCTGAGAGGAAATTTCCCTTCGATAAAAGCGCGCGAATATCAGTCACGTGATGTAAACATTGTGGACCCTTATCGTGAGGCATTAAAATTAACTATTCTTATGTCTTTTCAGGCAAGTCATTTATTCATATAACATAACACTTACTTCATACACAAACATCGAGTTGCATTTCGATCTAGTTTATGGCAAATATGAGTCTTAGGAACTTGGAATGGATTTTTCTTTTCGTGTAGAAATGACGTCACAACAAGGCAAAACCACGCGATTTATTTTTGACAAAATTGCCCATTGTATACCATTTTCAAAGGCTCTACGGGCGCACTTACCATGCTCGGCAGGCGCACTTACCATGCTCCGATATAGTTGATTTTAATAGCATCAAAATGACAATAAAACAAACTTTCAATCGGTCGGGGGTGCTATGTTGACAAATGGCCTCAAAAAAAGATTTCGAGAACTAAAGTGTTCAACTTACAAAAAATGCATGGTATTTCGAAATGCCAACAAAGCACCCCCGACCGATCGTTCATATATCTTTCTAATGATATCAGAAAGAAAAAATAATATTAATGATAAATGCACCCGCCGAGCTCAGATTCTAATTGAGTGCTAGTGATGAAACTTGGTGGTGTACAATTTGTACACCAAGACTATAAATTCAACAAAAAGCATTTTCTGCTCAGGTTAAGCAGAGTGATTGCTCAATGCTTTGTAATTTTTAAAAAGATAAATGTTCAAGTAATTAAGGAGTCTCATCTGTTTATTTTGGGATTGAAACATCCAACCGCCGCTTTACTGTTGTCTTGTTAACATATGTTTTTGTTACAGATATATTAAACATACATTAGATAAGTATGTAGAAGAAGATTATGTATTGGTGTATTTCCATTATGGTTTAAGAAGCAGTAATAAACCCAAATTATCGTGGCTAATACAAGCCTATAAAGCTTTCGACAGAAAGTAAGTAAATAAGATATCTAAACAAAATGGAAATGTGATCGTTTATTGCCATCCGTCTGTCCATCATCCACAATTTCTTGTGAATACTACAGACTACATTTATTATCTGATCAGTTTGAAATTTATAAATATTGTTTGCATTAGTGAGACGAAGAAGCCTATTTAATTTCAACAATTTCTATAAATTACTTCTTCAGTTATGGTCCTTGTTTCACTTTGTTGAACCTTGTGAATGCTCTAACGACTAAAGTTATCATCTGATCTGTATGAAATTTATATGCATTATTAAGACCAGTAAATAAAACGAATAAGCCTATTGAAATTCAACAATTTACACTAATTACTTTGTGGTACTAATTTATTAAATTGTGCACATAATTGATGTGATATTTTTAATGCTGATAGTTTTGTGTATAATTATACGCTTTCAGATATAAGAAGAATTTAAAGGCTTTATATCTTGTCCATCCTACAAATTTTATTAAAATATTGTGGAATATTTTCAAGCCAATATTAAGTGCTAAGTTTGGAAAAAAAGTTATGTATGTGGATTATTTAGTAGAATTAAAGAATCATCTTCATTTTGATCAGTTAACAGTTCCACTACCTGTATTAGAGTAAGTAAAATACAACCAATTTTTCTTTGTACAATATCATGGTGGCGGTGGGAGGGAAGGGGTGGGGGGAGAGTTTCTTTACCAATGTTTAATATCTTCAATTGTTTTATGGAATAATGAATTGATTGCTCAATACTCAATAAAATTCCATCCAGTAGCCAGATTTATGTATTAAAAGAAACAGCCATTAGTCTGCTTTATTATTGATATTAATGTTTCTTTCCACATGTATAAAGACTTCTTTTATTGTTATCTTTGAATTTTGTATTTGATAGATATGATGGTAAACGTGTGAATGCCTATAAACCACAATATCCATATCAGTCCAGTTCATTAGAAAAAGCTGGTCCCTTAAAAACACAACAATTTGGCGTTTCTTTAGAATAGTAAGTCAATTTTATTCTCATAGTTTCTTTTATGATTCATCCTGAGATAGTTTATGATACAACGCCTTTCATATTGGATTCGCTCTATTTACCATTCTGAAAGTTTATACAACCACATGTTAATGTCGGTTGTTTATCATCATCAGATGTTTGGCATTTATTTTTATAACACCCACATGTCATGTCGGAGTATATAGTTATCACCCCTGTCTTTCCATCCATCCACAATTGTTTAAACGCTGTATAGATCAGAGTATTTCAGTTTCAAACTTGCTGGAATTGTGGGACTTGTAGTCCATAAGAGAAACCCTATTGAAATTCCGAGACATACAACATTATTTTGCAGATCCACTGACTCAATTATTGAAACCTTGTGTACTCTACAGGGATGTCCGTCCGTCAGTCATCTATTGGCCACACTTTTTGCGACACAATAACTCTCCTTCTAATTGAACTACAATGTTCAAACTTGGTGTAGGTGTTTATTAGTTGAATGCCTTGATGGAGTCCGATGATGAACATTTTCTGCCTAGGCTAAGCAAAGATATGCAATTTGATTGGTTGATGCTTTGGAACATGATAACTTTGGTTCTAATTAAGTGAAAGTGATGCATAGTTGGTGTGTAGTTTCATAACATCAATACCTTGTCTAAGGTTAATAATGAGTATTTTCTGCTCAGGGTATGGCCGCCTTTCTTTATCAAATAGCGTAAAAATATGGTATATCAAGGTTGTGGACCCTATAGAGGTCACAATTTTTATCCGATTTTGTTGAAACTTAAAATGTAAGTTTATAACCCAAAGATCTTGGTTCCTTTTCGATATTCGCGTATATCGGACCGTAACTTCCTGAATTATGGTCCCTGATTGTATGAAAAATTGCGTTTTTAGCTTGTGGACCCGATAGAGATCATAATTTTTATCCGATTTAAAAAAAACGTATTATTATATCACCGTTACACACTAAGGATTTCTGAGTTTGAATTTTGTGAAAATCGACCTTGATTGTAGGAAAAATCACTTTCTTGTTAGCTTGTTCTCTATCCATCTCTCGAAAATGTGGGCGTATCCTGCCTGGCAGCCACTGGTTTTTAAATCGGATGAAAATTGTGCCCTCTAGAGGGTCCATAACCTTTGTATTACATACTTATACATAATTTGCATACAAAGAGCGGCAATATTGTCAGACACTTTCATTTCGATTTTCCCGAAATTACAATTCAACCTTCATTATCATAATTATGGTGGAATGGTGACATATCCAAATGGTTTTTAAAATTGTGACTTAATCTTTTGTCGGACAATTCATCAATCCAATCCTGAACAAAAGTCATTGCTTCGCCTTTGTTGGACTATTCATCAATCCAATAAGAGTGATTATAAACTTAATCTATGTGATTAACCTGTGATTTCACCATTAACGGACGTTTCAATCTCCTTGATGTCGGCCGACAATACGTAGGAATTACTCATATATGTCACATATCCTAAAAGTATATAACACCCCAAATCAATATACATTGTATACGATAATTTGTCTGTGATATTTCTTCGGTGAAAGCGGAAGTTAAATAAAGCTATTTCACACACACACATGGCGGTTATAGTACTATAACTGAAGTAGAAATCTCGCTAGACACGTGAAATTAAGAGATGTTAACGTGACGAATCTCACTCTGCAAACCTCGGCAGATTCTGTTACTCTACATCTATATGTAAGGTACTGGAATCTGCTGAGGTTTGCCAAGTGGCCGAATCGAATACGTCTGATGACAGAGGAGAGATTCTATTTTGATGGCATATTCTTGGATTTATGATCATATTTGGAATGGGTTTATGTTTTTATACGCCCACATTTTCATGTGGACTTATATTGTCGTGGCCCCTGTCCGTCCGTCCAGACGTATATTGTTGTCGTCCCTGTCCGTCCGTCCACAATTGTTTGTGAACACTCTAGAGGTCACAATTTTTATCCGATTTCAATGAAACTTGAAATATAGGTTTATCACCCTAAGATCTCGGTTCCTTTCGATATTGGCATGTATCGGACTATAACTTCATGGATTATGACCCCTGATTGTACGAAAAATCACGTTTTTAGCCGCCCCTCATTCGCAAATAGTGTCAAAATATTGTGTATCCGGGTTGTGGACCCTCTGGAGGTCACAATTTTCATCTGATTTTGATGAAACTTGAAATGCAGTTTATAATCCAAATATCTTGGTTCCTGTCAATTTTCGTACATATCGAATCTTAACTTCCTGAATTATGGCCCCTGATTGTACGAAAAATCGCGTTTTTAGCTTGTGGGTGCCTCTAGAGGTTGAAGCAGTTAAGAGCCATGATGTTCGCGACTACTTTGTTTTTTTATACTATCATATTTCATTATTTCTTAGCGCTGGACATTGTCATTTATATATATATTAAACATGTATTATATGTCTTATCATAGAAGTCTATAGTGTTATGTTCTCTCGTAATCATTTCTTAAATACCTTAATTGTCCATACCTTTCTAACCAGGGTAATTATTTTTAGATTAGGGTAAAAAATAACTCTTACCTCTTAAAATGATTTATATAATTAGTAAATAATTATTATCATCTAATGATTGATGTTTTGTCATATGTATAGTGTAACCAAATATACATTATACTGTTATAATCAACATGGTACTGTGTATTAGCCGTGTTTATGTTCTTATGATTTGAATTTTTGAATGCAATATTTGTAAACCACCAGAATGAATTAATGTCTCTATAGATACATTATGCTTGCTGGAATTTGCACGGTAGGCCAGCCATTGGGACTGCGGCCAATAAACAGCGATCAAATCGCTGACATTGGCAAGCTACATTCCGATGGCATAGAACCTCCTCTTACGAAAGTGGTACCTGCCCTTTCTGTTTCAGAGAGTACGGCAATCTAGGATTGCCCAAAAAAGACAAGTTGCAGATTCAAGAACAAGTACGGCGAATGCTGTTTGCCCAAAAAAGTAAAGACACTTGCAGATTCAAGAACCAGTACAGCGAATGCTATTCGCCCAAAAAAGTAAAGACACTTGCAGAGTACAGTGAACGCTGTTGCAGATTCAAGAACCAGTACGGCGAATGCTATTCGCCCAAAAAAGTAAAGACACTTTTAGAGTACGGTGAACGATGTTCACCCAAAAAAGGACAGTTAACAGAAATAAACACACTGAAGCTGTAAATACTGATATATATTTTGAAAGTTTTTGTTACATAAAGGTTTGAAAACTGAACGAGTCTGTCTTATTCCTACGGTGAAGATTATCTAATTTTAGCAAAACACCATTAATGACCACTTTTAAAACACCATTAATGACCACTTTTTAGCTGGTGAGTCAGGGAGTTCTGCCATTTTGAAAGCTTATCAAAAGGTTCTAATACTGAATGTCTATATTTATTCCTTATTCCATAGAATTATCCCACCTCTGCCACCAAAAACGTGTAACGTTTCCTTGAAGGGATAACCACGTTTGGGGGTATGGGGGAGCTTGGTATCTCTGCCACCAGTGATCAATTCCTGGCTGATCATGAGCCACCGGTAAACGGAACTTCGGAAGGGTGTGTAAGGACCAGCTAAAAAGTGGTCATTAATGGTGTTTTAAAAGTGGTCATTAATGGTGTTTTGCTAAAATTAGATAATCTTCACCGTAGGAATAAGACAGACTCGTTCAGTTTTCAAACCTTTATGTAACAAAAACTTTCAAAATATATATCAGTATTTACAGCTTCAGTGTGTTTATTTCTGTTAACTGTCCTTTTTTGGGTGAACATCGTTCACCGTACTCTAAAAGTGTCTTTACTTTTTTGGGCGAATAGCATTCGCCGTACTGGTTCTTGAATCTGCAACAGCGTTCACTGTACTCTGCAAGTGTCTTTACTTTTTTGGGCGAATAGCATTCGCTGTACTGGTTCTTGAATCTGCAAGTGTCTTTACTTTTTTGGGCAAACAGCATTCGCCGTACTTGTTCTTGAATCTGCAACTTGTCTTTTTTGGGCAATCCTAGATTGCCGTACTCTCTGAAACAGAAAGGGCAGGTACCACTTTCGTAAGAGGAGGTTCTATGCCATCGGAACGTAGCTTGCCAATGTCAGCGATTTGATCGCTGTTTATTGGCCGCAGTCCCAATGGCTGGCCTACCGTGCAAATTCCAGCAAGCATAATGTATCTATAGAGACATTAATTCATTCTGGTGGTTTACAAATATTGCATTCAAAAATTCAAATCATAAGAACATAAACACGGCTAATACACAGTACCATGTTGATTATAACAGTATAATGTATATTTGGTTACACTATACATATGACAAAACATCAATCATTAGATGATAATAATTATTTACTAATTATATAAATCATTTTAAGAGGTAAGAGTTATTTTTTACCCTAATCTAAAAATAATTACCCTGGTTAGAAAGGTATGGACAATTAAGGTATTTAAGAAATGATTACGAGAGAACATAACACTATAGACTTCTATGATAAGACATATAATACATGTTTAATATATATATATATATAAGCTCCCCCATACCCCCAAACGTGGTTATCCCTTCAAGGAAACGTTACACGTTTTTGGTGGCAGAGGTGGGATAATTCTATGGAATAAGGAATAAATATAGACATTCAGTATTAGAACCTTTTGATAAGCTTTCAAAATGGCAGAACTCCCTGACTCACCAACAAGTTTGGCGAACAAGGCAGGAAAAAAGAAATTAGAAGAAATCTCTAGTGAATTAAAAACCCTGATTAGAAGCTTGGGTTTGGAGGATGGTGCCGGTGAACAGAAAGAAAGAGAGCTTGCTGGCTTTCACAGCTTTAATCCAGTTGACGAGAAGATCTTCATCCTTTATCACTCAGCAGATTAGACGGTTACTTGATGATTTCGAAGTGCCACAAGATACACAATATCTGCCACATCCAACACCGTTAAAGAAAGAGTCGAGACGACGTTTGCCAACTCCTCCATTAT